TTAAGTGCTGACTTGAATACATTTGACTGGGACTCTATATATAACAATCCTAATATTGACTCACAATTGACTGTCCTCCAAAATAATATAATATACCTATATAATAGATCAATACCTCTAGCAAAAACTGATAAACCTCGTGGCAATCCCTGGTTCAACACGCAAATTAGAATATTAATAAAAATACGCGACAAGCAGACATGGTCCTACATTAAGAAGCTGGGTATTGGTAAATCCAACAATGAACGCATCTGTGATGTTGATCCTGATGTACTCAATGAACAATTTTTAGACTGCAAAGTACCTGAAGTGACTTAAACTGACTATGTTGAGCACTTGCCCCAAAATCTATATAGATTATACATCATAGCATTGACTCAATCAATATTTCCTGATTCTTGGGAAGTAACAAAAATACTACCAATTCCGAATACAGGCCAATCTCTATACTACCTTTTTTATCAAAAGTGTTACTAAACCTAAAATATGGAAAAAATGAACAAAAAATACTATTTCGATGGTTGCGAGCTCAACTGCCAATTGGGAACAAAGCAATCGAAAAAGGGTTGTACATTTGGTACCTGATCGCGATCCCAATTCCAATTGGCAGTTGGGCCCGCAACCATCGAAAAGGTATTTTTTGTTCATTTTTTCCATATTTTAGGTTTAGTTAACGAATTTTAGCTCCAAAGTCTCTCCATAGATTTTAATGAGGGATACCTGGAACGACGCCAAATTAATGCACCTATACACAAAAAAATAGAGGACACAGGATATAATTTTTTTTCGACTTTTCCTGAGTTTTTAAAGTCAAAATTTCGTAAAAAATACCGTACAAAAATCATCATTTTTGCATTTCAATGCTTTATATTTCGCAGACGGTAGGCTGTAATCACAAAGTGTTTGGGCTTAACTTCTAGCTGTTTTAATTATCTTTTTAAAACAGCAAAGTTCTTTACTACCAGACGTAAGATACTAGAGCTATGTGAAAAAAACAAGCGCTACCTTTGAAAAAAGCTTAAACAAAAAATACCAGACTTTAAAAATTCTTCAAAAAAAACTTCTGCCATAGAAAAAAAACCATAATTCTTTAAAAAATTGTAAATCCCCATATCTATCAGAAAAAGTCGGTTTGGATCCTTGAGGAAAAAAAAAGTTCGATTTTGTCGAGTAGTGTAATTAATTCGATTTACCTCATGACCTAATACCAAAACTACACTAGTCAACACTAGAATTAGGCTGTGGCTCAAAATAACTTTTTCTTATAGATTTCGGGGTTTAAAAATTTTTAACGAATTATGGTTTTTTTTATGGTGTACTTTTTTTTAAGAATTTTTTAAAATCTGGTATTTTTGTTTTGTTTTTTTTCAGAGGTAGTGCTTCTATTTCCGGGTACGATTTATAGTTGCATTTGTTAGCTTTTCAGAACTGCAAAGGTCTATGCAACCAGATATAAGATACTTAAGTTATGTGAAAAAAAGCACTAATTTCATGTACAATTATTTTTGAATCGTTTTGGTCAAACGGCTGCAAATTGACCGTTTATCCATAGATACCTCAAACGACGCCCAATTTATGCGTCTATCTAAAACCAAAAATGTTGGCCATTGGTTTCGACTTTTCCCGAGTTTTTAAAGTCAAAATTTCGAAAGAAAAAAAAATACCGCAAAAAATGATGAAATTTGAATTTGAAAGCTTAATATCTTCCAGGCGTTAAGCTGCAGATACAAAGAGTCCAGGTCGGATTTATAGCTGCGTATGTCAGCTTTTCAGATCTGCAAAGTTCTGTGCAACCAGATATAAGATACTCAAGTTATTTGAAAAATAGAAGCACTACCTCTGAAAAAACCATGAAAAAAAAACAGATTTGAAAAAATTCTTTAAAAAAAAATGAAACCTTAAAACAAAAAATAAAGTACTACAAAAATTTTTAAATCCCGAAATCTATCAGAGAGTCATTTTGGTTCACAGCCTAAATAAAAAGTTCAATTTTGTCGAGTAGTGTTATTAATCCATAAAGCTCACACAAAACCCTCTTAATGATTAAGTATCTGACTTAAGGTTGGGCCCCAATTTTTTTTTTGCACCGGGGCCCTCTCTTTCCTAGCTACGCTACTGATTGGACAATGACAATATAACGTTCTTGACTCTTTTAGACTATAGTAAAGCTTTTGACACGGTAAACCACGAAATTCTTTGTTTTAAACTAAGTCATCTATGTAATTTTTCGCGTGCAGCAACAAAGCTGATCTTCTCTTATTTGAGTAATCGGAGGCAGACTGTGCCCATTAATAATGTGTATTCGTCTTTCCTATGTGTCAAGCGTGGCGTTCCTCAAGGATCTGTCCTCGGTCCATTACTATTCTCTGTGTATATTAATGATCTTCCGAGTGTATTGTAAAATTGTGAAGTACATATGTATGCTGATGACGTTCAAATGTATGTTAGTCGTCCTATTAGTATAATTAATGACTGTGTTCGTGTTTGTAATAGTGAAATAAAAACCATAAGTCAGTGGGCAAAAATCAATGGGCTAGGATTAAACCCAAATAAGTCAAAATGTATAGGTATCATAGGTAAAAGACAGTTCAACACTGACACTCTACAAAAATTATCGATTGAAAATATCCCTATAGAATATGTAAAACGGGCCAATAGTTTGGGTTTTACATTTAATCAAACGTTGACATGGGATGACCACATAAGTAAATCAGTCGGAAAAACATATGGAATCCTTATATCGCTATACATAACGAAAGAAGTTTTACCACTGAAAATCAAACAAACAATTGCAACAATGTACCTCACACCAGTATTTCTTTATGGTATCGAAGTCTTTAGTGACTGTAACTCCGCTAGCCAACAAAAGCTGCAAGTTGCTTTTAATAATATCGCGAGATATATTAATAATAGAAATAGAACTGACCGTATTTCTGACGTAATGATTAAGATATTCCATATGCGACTTAAATCGTGGACAAACCATAGAGTCTTGACATTATTGCAGAAAATTATATTCACCAAAGAACCTTGTTACCTATACGAAAGACTTAGGTTTAGCACGTCAAGAAGGACCAGAAACATTATGAGAGTTAAATACAAGTACTCCTGCACATTGCGGCAATTCTTTGTATATGCTTTCCGCATTTGGAACCAAGTGGCGCGAAGCAATTCAAGATCGCACTGGAGGAACATCTGCGCACTGCCTAACTCTAATAATTTAAACTTTTTAATAGTGGGGATGGATGAAGAGAGAGCGAGACCTATAGAAGTGAAATTAAATATATTCTGTCAGTAAATGTTAGTACATAAGTTCAATTATAATTCTAACTGTAATTACTCTAAAATTTTACTATGTATTCTGAATTTTTAAATGTTAATAACTATTAAAATTGTTGTGACTTGCGCCTTAATTTATAAGTATTTATATGCTTGTCGCGCTAGGGTGGAAAATACATATACAAATCGCTGATCAAGTTGTCCTGGTGAACGCGCCCAGTGATTTCAGAAGAGGAAGGGAATTAGTAGTTGATAATATATGGTAGAGGGAATTATAATCCGATCATAAGGCTCTAAATGGTTCATGCAAGGAATAATTCGATCTATAAAGTGGAAGGAAGAAAGGAATAAGCTTTCTAGTGGTTCTATTAGGAATTAGGAGCCCAAAGTGTACAGCTATACAGAACTTTCCTAAAAAAACCCCTTCGTTATTTTCGGGTACATCTTTCCCCTAAAATATCCCAAACCGCCTCTAAAAAAACATAGCATGTATATTTGTATTGAAAACATTGATTGGATTTAGTAGAAGCAGTCACATATGACCACGTTTCAATGTTTTCAAAACAGATATCCATTTTAATATCTCCTCCTTTTCAATGTTGGCCTCACTATGATCATCCATGTCCAGCAATATTATTACTTTGTGCAAGAAAATATTTTGGTGCTGAATCACATTCACAACTACTGCAATATTATTAATATTCATTTTAATTATAAAAGTAAACTAATTTTCCGCCGCAGCAAATTAAGTGCATCAGGTATTTTTTCATGGATGGTGGATGGAATCGGAGTTTCACATCTGTCAAAGTTTCCCACCGTTCCTCATAGATGTGCTGTGTGGGAAAAGGCTATTAGAGTTAGCCAATTTTGCTGCGTCTAATGGCTTTTAGTAGAACAACTGAGACACTACTTGATATACAATGATGTCTTCCAGTAGAACACAGACACCAAGCCAGCAAAATTGTATCCGCAAAGTTAAATTTTTGATAAATTTTTGCAGCAGCACTGCTCCCAGCTCACCTGAACAGCATCTTTATTTTTCTAGTCAGTTAGCAAAGTCTAATGTCATATGGTTATTAAGCCTAATACTCAGATCCAAAAACTGTTTGCTAGAAAAAATATGTCTAATATTCTTCCAGCGGCCAGTGGTGTGACCAGATGTGTGCGCTGCATTCCGTACGGTTTCACTGCACGGACAGGTGCTTGGTTTTATTTAAAGTTAATAAAATTCACTTCTTCGGCTGTGGTCGCTCTTCTTCAGGCAAATTCTGGGCTCCCCAATATTTTATTGGCAAGGTGTTGTGTCTGACTATCAGCAGCAGCAGAAGACAAAATGTTTTGAAAACAATATTTGTTTTATATTCATGAAAATTAAAATTTTTGAGTACTGCCTTCCGTACAAAGCCCATAAAATAGTTTTTGCCCGAACAAATTTCGTATCGGTTTCATACGAATACTAACCCTGATTCTGTTCGCCAGGTGTTTTTTCGGATCTGAGTACTATGTTTAAAAAAACACAAAACAGTGTAACCGTAGAGCATGCATGTTTCTCCACTTTGGTCACCCTGGGCACCGAGAAAAATATATAGCACTCTTTGTCGACATAAGCTAATGTAGCTAATCTGAGTACGATTCTTAACGATAGAAAAATGTTCCGTTTCAATATTTCTAAATATTAAGAAAGTAAAATTGTGTTGTTGTTGTGACTTTTCATCCCTGGCATAATTTGCGTTTCAAATGGTTAATATTAAAATATTAAATATTGTTTACACCGGCTTATCTTAGAAAACAATAGGCTATCAAGCCCATACAAATATAAAAATGTCTCTCAGTGAAAGTATTCCGGTAAATACTTTCCGAAATTATTTAAATATACTTAATGATCCCTCTGCAAAAGAAGAAATCAAGTTAAAAGCCACACAAGAACTTAGCGAACACTTTGAAATGATAATTCAAAGCTCATCCTACCCATCGTTTTTGGAAACATCACTAAAAATATTTATGCGTATACTGCAAGAAGGCGAACCACAGTTTATTCAAGAAAACACAATGCAACATGTGAGTTATAAGTTATAAACTAATAAGCGTCCATTGGGTTTTAAATAATGGCACCGTATGTAATATAATAGAGCACAACTAATGTAACTACATAATTTATACTTTCTGTCACCAAAGGATAAGAAAGTGCAACAAAGTCTTCATAATTTAATATGTACATACATACCTACATACATATATGGGGTGCTATGACTGGTCATCAAACTTAATAAGAGCAAGATGTGGCATTCAGAAAAATGAATGTTTGAAGGCAACTGGGGTGATAAAAGATTTGTATACCCCTATATATGATTTTATTGCAATTTGTTCTTATTATTGGATCCTAAGGATTCTTTCTACTTTGCCGCTTTATGGCAATACAGCCCCTAGATCTCAGAGACTATCAGAGCTAGAGCAATTAAATTTTGTACCCAGACTCCTGTAATATAACAGGTTCGCTTGAACATCTCTTGAAAATTGTTCTCGAATAGTTTGCGACAAATTTAGAATAGACATGACTCCATAAGCAAGGACAAAAAACCATGAAAAATAGTGTAAAAGGTTCGAAGCTGGGAACTAGGAACTCTGCCGCATAATTTAATACTGAAGCTGGGATCGAATATAATCATGTTGCGGAATACGAATCATCCGAAATTGTGAAACGGTACGCGGCTGTCCGTCAAAAAACTGATTCAAGCAACGGATCATTCCGATTATTCCAACAGATCTACAATTCCAATTCAAGAAAGTTCAGTTTCCCGTTCAATTAGCTTTTGCGATGATGATCGCAGTCTGCTAAAGTTTATTGCAAAATTTCACCTCGCCCCCTTCCGCCCCCACAAAGGACGAAAATCAGTTTCAGCCACAATTTAAAAGATACGAAAACTCAGTACCGTAGGAAATGACCATATCTACCAGATTTCCGAATCTGAATCAGACTAGATCATTATTAGAGCCAGAATGAAGAAATTAGTTTTCAGTTGCTTCCCCCACCTCCTCCGGCGCAGCAGACGCTACTTAGTCTTTCTCTCTTGCACACACTCTGGTCTGTGCAATGCGAGACCTTTGTGGAGAAGATGTAAAATCTACATAGTGTATGTATATAATCTACATTTCAGATGTGTAATTGACATTGTAGATGTGGATGTCGATAACACTACTCGACAAAATCCAACTTTTTTTCCTCAAGGATCCAAACCGACTTTTTCTGATAGATATGGGACTTTAAATTTTTTTAAAGAACTATGGTTTTTTTTCTAAGGCATATATTTTTTAAAAAGATGTTTTAAAGTTTTTAGTTTTTTTTTTAAGTTTTTTTTTTTCAATGGTAGCGCTTCATACGTTTAAAAACTTGTAGCAACATAACCCAAATAAAAAATGTGTACATATTTAAAATGTACTGAAAAGACTAAAAATTACTAATTGTTTTATGGGTTAGTGAATGAAATTCTATATATCAGGTATTTCTACTTTAATTTTTATTGAAATATGAATAGGTAGAAGCGACAAATGTCTAATTTGTGTGGACCTGCACTTGTGAGAATAGTTTCTTAAAGATAAAATTTCGTAAAAAATACCGCATTTCAATACCAAAATTTTGCGTTTCAATGCTTTATATTTCCCAGACGGTAAGCTGAAATCACAAAGTGTTTGGGCTTAACTTCTAGCTGTTTTATCTAGCAATAGAAAAGTTCTTTACAACCAGACGTAAGATAGTAGAGTTATGTGAAAAAAGCGCTACCAATGAAAAAAGTTAAAAAAAATACCAGAATTCTAAAATTCTTCAAAATAAAGTTCTGTCATAGAAAAAACAATATAATCAAACCATTTCTAAGCCCTAAATCTTTAAGAAAAAGTTCGTTTTTTTCCTTGGGGAAAACTCGTGTCGAGTAGTGTAACAGATGTAGCAAAAAAATTTAAAATATTTAAAAATTCTACATAAATTAATAGCTCACAAATTTATATACTGACTGACTACGGGTATAAAAGTAGAGTCGCGACTCACACGTTCCTTCTCGTTTTTTCTATAAAATAACTTTTTTTTTAAGATTTTTTAAAATCTGGTATTTTTGTAATGCTATTTTTAGAGGTAGCAACGTTACAAGCGGTAAAATGACTTTACTTCATGATCTTCGACCTGTATTCAACAGGTCCTGACGGAGTTCCGGTCTGTGCTCTCAGGTACTGTCCGACGCTCTGTATGGGCCCCTGCTTAAATTATTCACCCTGTCCATTAATTCTTTATGCTTCTCCCCGATCTGGAAGGAATTTTTTGTTATTCCTCTCCATATGAAAGGTAGAAAGTCTTACGCAAATAAGCATTCGATTCTATAAACCATTATCTTCTAGCACAAAAACTTTACTTTTAGGGTTTCCGCCTAATCTTTTGAGATGGCGCTCCGGTGTTTTTTATCTATAACTAACTTACATTAAAATCATACTTTTACCGCGGGTGCATGCCTGATAATTGTGTAAAAACACAACTTATTTAATTATTTTTGTGCGTCGGCTAGTCGTGTGTTTGTGTTGTTGCTTTTCGTAAGTACGCCCTCTCATCACATTTAGCCGCTCTTTGTCGTAGTTATTGCCGTCTATCACTCTCTATCACCTAACTCTCAATAACTGTTCTTTTGCTCTCGCTCTAGTAACTTTTTGTGCAGTAACGCACTCACTTATGAGCTGTTGCTGCAACCACTCTCCTCTCTCATCTTTTACTGATTTCGCTTTAAGCATTGCTCTAAGCATTTGCTCTGCACAGTGGTCTGATTGCTATTTATTTTGAACTTTTTTTCCCGAAGTAAAAAAAAATAAAAGACAAATATTGAATTTTCTGTCGTCTGTGCCAAAAAAACCTGCAAGAAGCAGATCACCCATGACCAGCCCAATATCCCCTGCTGGCTTTGCGAAAGCGTAGTGCACGAAAAATGTGTAGGGATCTCGGGCCGTGTAGGAGATGCCATTTCCCAAAATAACGGCCTGCTTTATAGTTGTGAGGAATGCTGTGCTGTGGAAAACGACATGCGTTCGTTCATGAGGCAGACGCGGAGTGGCTTCAAAGAGCTGATCGTAGGCTTTAAACAGCAATATGATCGGCTCTTGGCCATGGACAGTCAGTTCAGCAGTTTACAGCTGCTGGCTGAGTCTCCGAGGCGCAAGAAGTCTACTCCACGGGACTTGCCTCATGTCCGCCGGCATCTGAAAAACTTGCTCCGACCACTCCCTTAGTGCAGCAGTTGATTACGTTTGCTACTCCAAGGGCAACGATCGCTGCTGGTGATGCAGATTCGGGAGCCGAATGCGTCACTTCGGAGAGTATGCAGGTAGACATGTCTGTAGCTTCCGTGTCTGTCGAGTCCGCACCCAACTCCTTAATTATCCCATCAGTTTCGCTCCCACCAGCTAATAGATATCCAGGACCACCGGATACTGGCATCACAGGTACTAGGCCTGTGGTGCCAAAACCACTGGTTGGAATCCCACCAAAGCGACAACTTTTTGTCTCGCGGCTAGCCCCTGACCTCACATCCAATGATGTAACCGCATTTATACAAAGCAAAATAAAAGCCGTTGGCTTAAAGGTGGAAAAGCTTAACTTTTCTTACGCCAGGGAGATATCTTCCTTTAAGATAAGCTTCTACCCCGACTTAATTTGACACCATTTGTTCCGCCAAGTTTTGGACGGAGTATTTTGGTCGTCAAAGAGTTTAAGGCTAAGAAAAAGAATAGGCCCCCCATAACTCTTCCTAGTAGTCAGACCAGTGCTCCATCTTTACCCTCATCTTCCACCTCAACTTCTACCCATCCAAAAACCTAACTTCCTCTCTTTTAGTTACCTACCAGAATGCTAGAGGCCTTACTTACTACGCTTACTACGCAAGTTCAGCACTCTTTTTCTTGAGTCTCGCATTTTCGTCCCATGTTATTGTGTTTACCGATACTTGGTTAAAGCCGGACTTTCTTAGTTCCGAAGTTTTGGCAAGTCGGTACACAATTTTTAGAATTGACCGTTCGTCTCGACGTGGAGGTGGGGTTCTCATTGCAGTGGACTCAAACTTCACGTCGGAACATTTCATGGTCCAGGTTCAACAAGACCTGGAATTCCTGTGCGTAAAACTGACTCTCCCAGGCTTTTCCATTTTCATTACTTGCTCGTATATTCCACCTTCCTCGGATATCTTAATATACGAGCATCACCTGTCCGCTTTAAAAACTGTTTCTTCCTCGCTATCAGATAAAGACCATATGATAGTTCTTGGTGATTTCAATTTGCCAGGTACTGTTTGGTCTTCGGTAAACGAGTCTAATAGCCTTGTGCCCATGTGCCCATGACTTTATCGACGGCTTGCTAGACCTATCCCTGTCTCAAGTCAACCATGTGAAAAATTCCTTGGGTCGATTGCTTGATCTGTGCTTTGTCTTGGATCCGACCATAGCGTTGTTAACCCGAGCCCTTCCGCTCACTATACCTGAAGACTCCTACCATCCTACATTCGAAGTGTCAGTCGATATTGGCCCTACTGTATTGGATCGAATGGGTAGGCTATCTAAACGTGTCCGCTGCATTCGTAAAGCCGAGTTTACGAAGCTTAGTAACCTCATTAGGGATTTTGATTGGGCCGCTCTGTACGTGTGCACTGACGGTTTGAAAGGCACAAACATTTTTATACCCGTACTCAAAAAAGAGTTAAGGGGTGCAACGCAGAGAAGGAAACGTTTCCGACCGCATAAAGTATATATATTACTGATCAGCATCAATAGCCGAGTCGATATAGCCATGCCTGTCTGTCCGTCCGTCCGTCCGTCCGTCTGTCCTTCTCAGAGACTATAAGAGCTAGAGAAACCAAATTAGGTTTCCAGACTCATGTGATATCACACTGCTACAAGTGTATTTCAAAATTTCGCCCCGCCTCTTCCGCCCCCGCAAAAGACGAAAATCTGTGGCAGGCACAATTTTAAATATACGATAAAACTAAAAACGCAGTATCGTAGAGAATGAAAGATTGCCGAATCTGAATCAGATCGGATCATAATTATAGCCAGAATAAAGAAATTAATTTTAAGTTGCTTCTCCCGCCTCCTTCGGAGAGACACCCGCTACTCATTCTCTTTCTCGCTAGCACACTCTGCCGCGTTCAGTGCGCGTACGCCCTCTAGCGGAGGAGATGTAAAATTACATTGTAGATAACAGATCTAGCAAAAAAAATGTAGAACTTATTTTTTAATTCTAAAATTCTAAAAAATCAAATCAAAATCAAAAATTTATATACTGGCTGAGTACGGGTATAAGTAGAGTCGCGTCACCAGAAGCGACTCGCACGTTCCTTCTCGTTTACAATGCCCTTGACACATTTTTTGATTCTAGTGTCCCCCTTTCTTGTCTGATTAGATCTGGGAAGCCTCCTTGGTTTACCGAAGAGTTATCCAGTCTAAAACACTTAAAATCAAGACTTTATAAAATATTTCAAGAAGACGGAAATTCTCTTTCTCGCTATGTAATAGCTCGGTCAAATTTCTCCGTTCTTAACGCTCAATGCTATACAAATTACCTATCTCGATGCAGGATACGATTTTCATTGGACCCTAAACAGTTTTACAGCTTCGTAAATTGTAAGCGTAGAACGTCCGCACATCCATCCTCGCTGTCATTCAATATGTCAGCAAACAATGATCAGGCAATTGCCGATCTTTATACCAAATTTTTCCAAACAACCTATTCTTATGAAAGCTACTTTGGTCAGCCGTATGGTCAAATGGCATCTTCAGCCACTTGTTAAATGAAAGCTGAAGCAGAGTCACGATCTTCGACTAGTTAAGCCGGTGTTTTCACCAGGTCCTGACGGAGTTCCCGGCTGTGTACTCAGGTACTGTGCCGACGCTCTGTGTGGACCCCTGTTTATACTATTCACCCTATCCATTAACTCTTCATGCTTCCCCCCCATCTGGAAGGAATCTTTTATTATTTCGCTCCATAAGAAAGGTAGCAAGTCGGATGCAAATAATTATAGAGGTATATCTAAGTTATCCGATATTCCTAAAATGTTCGAAAAAATGTTAGCTCCGCATTTGCAACTTCTCTGCAAATCACTTATATCTCCATCTCAGCACGGACTTATAAGGCGACGATCAACAACCACAAATTTATTAGAGTTTACCTCTTTTATCATTAAAGGCTTTCAAGGTAACTTGCAGACGGATGTCATTTGCACTGATTTTAGTAAAGCATTCGATTCTGTAAACCATTCCCTTTTAGCACAAAAACTTGACCTTTTAGGGTTTCCGCCTAATCTTTTGAGATGGATTTCTAGCTACCTTCGTTCTAGGTCTCAAAGAGTCCTCTTCAAAAACTCCTTCTCTTCACCTGTTAAGGTTACTTATGGAGTACCACAGGGCAGCCATCTAGGCCCTCTACTATTCACACTCTTTATTAATGATCTGCCTTCAGAATTAACAAACTCTCGAGTACTCATGTATGCGGATGATGTTAAAGTTTGTGTCCACTATAAGGACATTTCATTTCACTCTCGCTTGCAATCCGATCTCAATAACTTTCAATCATGGTGCTGTGCAAATATGTTACACCTAAATGCCTCGAAATGCAAAGTAATGACATTTCATCGCTCCAGCCCCATTTTGGCTCCTTATAGCCTCTGCGGTGGTTCTCTTGAGAGAATTAACTTGGTTGATGATCTTTGTGTTAAATTAGACCCAAAGTTAAAGTTTTCTGAACACATTTTTACCATGGTAAATAAGGCCATGGGTGTGCTTGGGTTTATAAAGAGGTGGTCAAAGGAATTCGACGACCCCTATATAACGAAGACTCTCTACATCTCGCTTGTTCGTCCGATTTTAAGGTACGGCTCTTGTGTATGGTGCCCCCAGTACAAAGTACACCAGGACCGTATAGAATCAGTCTAGAAAAACTTTTTACTTTTTGCTCTGCGTGGCCTTAACTGGGATGCAGGTGTGAGACTGCCATCTTATCCTCGTAGATTGATTTTAATAAACCTTCCAACCTTAGTTAGTCGTAGAAAAATGCTTGGTGTGATTTTTATGCACAACCTGATCAAGGGTGACGTAGATAGCCCTGACTTGTTGAGCCGCATAAACTTTACGATCCCTATTAGATCTACTAGAAACTTCATTCCTTTGTTCCTTCCGCTTTGTAGATCGAATTATTGCACGAACCATTTAGGGTCCTATGCTCGGACTTCAATTCCCTCTACCATATAATATCTACCACTAATTCCCTTCCTTTTCTTAAATCACTAATACAAACATACCTTTCCCGTAATTAGTTATATTTCTTAGCTATCTTTGCATGTTTAGCTCTTTGAGTTTTGTTTAGCACTAATTTTCCTCGAATTTTAGTCTAACACCTATCTTTCCTGCATGCTCGCGATCGGTTCGGTAACACGCGTCGCGCGTCATGGCTCGTCACAAACAGCGGAGTGTCAGCGCATCCACGCTGTTCGGAGACAATAATCAAACTGATATACACATAGCCCACGAACCATGGCTCTAGCCACGGTTTTCCACAAGTAGTCAGCACTTCCTAATAAAATAGTCTTAAGCAACGCACACCAATACTAAAATTAAAAACTCTCGATCAACAATTCTACCCATTCTTGTCCACACACCTATTTAAAAGAACCCACCTGTTGCATTATTTCGCAATCAGCGAAGACAGCACTAAATTCTCGGCCACCCACTTCTGTGCGTTATTTCGTAACCATTCACGTCAGCATAAAATTATCGACTTACCGACCCAAATTGTGTTATCACCTTCTGCGATGCAGAGTTAGCATAAACCAATTCTAAACCCAACCCCCAACAGCAGCCCGCACCTGCTGCGATGCAGCAAAACACTTCCTCAACACTACTGACCCTCTAACCAATTGTCAACGAAGCACCAAGCTTCGACCCACTTACCACACCCCACAATTATTGTCACCCAATAGTCATAAGTTAGCAATAATTAATTATTTCCTGGTCAAGGACAGACCATGGAAATCACGGTCTCAGGTGCGATCGCCAGCTGCGATTTGGCCGACGAAGTAGGCAGTCCATCAGCCCGAACCCAAGACACTGCACTAGGCAGTCCATCAGCCCGAATGCAAGACACTGCACAAGGTAGTCCATCAGCCCGAACACAAGACACTGCACTAGGCAGTACATCAGCCCGAACCCAAGAGGCTGTACTAGGCAGTCCACCAGCCCGCAGCACAAGTAGCAAGACAAGCTGGTTCAAATTGTAAACAAACCAGCCAAGCCAATAAAAGAATTAAATAATCAACAAAACAAACTCAAAAGACAGAAGTTCTTGAGCCATCCAATTTCCCACCTTGCCTACTACTCTTTCGGTCATTCAAGGCCAGCCCCGAACCTTAAGTTCCATCAAATCTACAAATGTCTTGTAGAGGAACCCTGGACAGGCTGATGCATATCCCAGCCTGAAATAAGGTATCTTACACTATTGATGCTGATTAAGAATATATATAATTTATGTGGTCGGAAACGTTTCCTTCTCTGCGTTACACACATCCACTTTTGCCACAAATCTAATATACCCTTTACTCTTTTTGAGTACGGGTATAAAAAATAACAGTTTTTTTTAAATCTTTAAAAAAAAGTTCTGCTGAAGAAAAAAAAATTTTATATCAAACAATTTTAAACCCTCAAATCTATTAGAAAAAGTCGTACTTGAGGAAGTCCGAGTTCTTCAGGAAAAATCGTGTCGGGTAGTGTAGCCACCCAGGTATATAAACTGCCCACATATTTACATTTGGTAAGTTCTGGTAACTTTTTCTAGCACTTTGGCAGCCAAATCTAGCTTTTATTTCTTGTAATGACTTTAAGGAAGCGATCTAGGCTGGGGTACAACTCTCAGTCAAGCCAGGGTCGAAATTACAGCAATATTTATAAGTTGCCTGGACTCCGAGTCCTGAGTGGCAATGGGACGGAGATTTCGCCTCGTGGTTAGCAAGCCAAGGAACACATGCGAAGGGGTTGGAATTTATGTAACGATCCTCGCCTGTGGCACCTCTGAGAAATCACAAGGAGGCGAGTGGGCGGGTGGAACGGCAGAGATCTTCCCCAGATTCCCTGGCAGTCGCCGGGCGGCACCTAAGGAAAGCTACTGGCCTGCGGGGGGGTTGGGAAACAGTATGGATCGACAGAGAAGGCCTGGGCAATCGCCGGGCGACCCCTTTGGGAAACTACAGGTTAAGGGGGAAGGTGAGTAGGTGCAGAGACCCCCCGAAGATACCTGGGCAGTCGCCGGACGGCACCTCGGGGAAGGTACTGGTGTGCGGGGGAAGGAGTACGGGCATCGATCGCCAGAGGATGCCTGGGCAGTCGCCGAGGGGCCCCTCTGGAAAACTACGGATCAAGGGAGGGCGTGTAAACCGGTGGAGATCGACGGATGAAGACGCGCTGGTATTAATTAATATCCTTTTCTTCCACTTCTCCTGCCTAACCGCACCGCTCTGCAGCCCTCCTCCTCACGACGGTGAGACTTGCTCACCCTTTCCTTGCTCGCCGTCAAAATCTATCTTGTTTGATTAATGCTATGAGCTTACTTACTTACTAACAAATGCAGTCACTTAACCTAATATGAACATAAAACAAATAATTTTAAAAAAATAATAGTAAATAATAGTAAGACATCCATTCATGGCGAAAAAAATAATGTGGCGGAGGAGCGTCTGCTCCTTCACATGACTAATGAATGTAATAATGACTATTATTTATAATTTATGTGATTTTTTAAATTTAATTTTAGATCCGTAAACTTATTTTGGAGATGATTCATCGACTGCCCATAACAGAAAATTTAAGACAACATGTAAAATCAATTATAACAATGATGCTTAAAATATTAAAAACTGATAATGAAGAAAATGTCCTCGTAAGTCTTCGAATAATAATTGAGCTGCATAAACACTTTCGTCCATCTTTTAACCCAGAAGTAAGTAAATATGGAAACTAGATATTTTTTAATTGTAAGTCGAAGAAACACACAGAATCTTTGTACACTGATTTTTTTTTTATACCCGTACTCAAAAAAGAGTTAAGGGGTATATTAGATTTGTGGTAAAAGTGGATGTGTGTAACGCAGAGAAGGAAACGTTTCCGACCCCATAAAGTATATATATTCTTGATCAGCATCAATAGCCGAGTCGATATAGCCATGTCTGTCTGTCCGTCTGTCTGTCTGTCTGTCCGTCTTGTTGAGAGCCTAGATCTCCGAGACTATAAGAGCCAGAGAAACCAAATTTGGTTTCCAGACTCATGTGATATCCCACTGCTACAAGTGTATTTCAAAATTTCGCCCCGCCCCCTTCCGCCCACACAAAGAACGAAAATCTGTGGCAGTCACATTTTTAAAGATACGATAAAACTAAAAACGCAGTATCGTAGAGAATGCCCATATCTACCAGATTGCCGAATCTGAACTAGATCGGATCATAATTATAGCCAGAATGAAGAAATTAATTTTCTGTTGGTTCCCTCTCCTTCTCCAGCGCTGCTGACGCTACTGATTCTCTTTCTCGCTCGCACACTCTGCCGCGTTCAGTGCGCGAGCAACCCCTAGCGGAGGAGATGTAGAATATAAATGGTACATGTACAATCTACTTGTTAGATGTGGAATATACATTGTAGATGTAGATGTAGATAACAGATGTGCAAAAAAATGTAAAATGTACATTTTTTTTTTAATTTTTAAATTCTAAAAAATCATAAGCTCAAAAATGTATATACTACTGACTGAGTACGGGTATAAGTAGAGTCGCGTCCCCAGAAGCGACTCACATGTTCCTTCTCGTTTGCTTTATTTTTTTTATTATTACGGGATTTTATTTATCGAATCTTCCCTATTAGAGACTTACGACAAGTATACAAATCTTAGCCTAATATATTTATTTAATTAATTAGACTTAATTACTTAGAGTACGTCCCTAGCTAAGTATTATTGCTGGGTAGGAAGGTCTCTTCGCCGGAGTCGTGTATGGCTAGTGTGCCAAGTTAAAGACTGCGCAATTCAATTAGGATGGGCTTGAAGCTTGGCCTGGTACTTTGCTTTCACTTTGGCAATTTCATCTTTAACTGATCCTACATTTAAGTCTTTATGGATATTTTCATTCCGTATATACCATGGTGCCCCAGTGATAGTTCTTAGTATCTTCGATTGAGCTCTCTGGATTATTTCTAAATTACTAACGCAAGCATTTCCCCATAGCTCGGAGCCGTATGTCCAGATGGGTTTGAGAACAATGTACAAAAGTACTTTGTACTCCAGTTTTAGTGGTGAACGGGTGTTTATTAGCCAATGTAGATTACTAGCTTTAAATTTAAGTAGATTTCTCTTCGCTTCGATGTGCTTACGCCAAGTAAGCCTTCTATCCATATGAACACCAAGGTATGTTACTTCGGTGGTTTGTGGAATGTTGATATTGTTCAGACATAATGGAGGGCAAGTTTGTCTGTTTAACGTGAAGGTGACATGCTTGCACTTTTGCTCATTTACATGTATCCGCCAGTCTGCTAGCCATTTTTCTAAGGCCACGAGATGAGATGATAAGTGATCCGTGGCCCTTCTTGGGCACTTGGAGCGACTTAATATGGCAGTATCATCAGCAAATGTCGAAGTTGTTGTTCGGCTGTTTGTCGGTAGATCTGCTGTGAATATGATATACAGTGTCGGTCCAAGCACGCTGCCTTGCGGTACACCAGCTTCAATTAGATGATATTCACAGAGGAAATCTTTGCATCGTATTGCGAAACTTCATTGCTGTGGGTATGACTCCAATATTCCATGGATATTTTGTGGAAGCAATATATTGATTTTGTGCATTATGACATCTAACCAAACGCGGTCGAAAGCCTGGACGACATCCAGAAAAATGCATTTCGTATCTCAGAGGTTATGCGGCTTACTTGTTCAATGGTTCCATGTTTTTCGCGACATCCAAATTGGTGCATCGGGATGTCACCGTTCATGAGTAGGTGTTGTTTGATATGATTCAGGAGCAGCTTTTCAAATAGCTTTGATAGGCAAGGCAGTGGGCTGATAGGTCTATGTGATGATGGCTTGGACTTGTCTTTTCCGGCTTTATGGATCATTGTGATGACTGATTTCCTCCATACCTGAGGATAATAGCCCCATTTCATCATTCTGTTGAATATCACAGTAAGAAAATATACTGCACAGTTCGGTAATTCTAAGATCATTTTAGGGGAGATTAAATCGTGGCCTGGAGCTTTCTTTTGCTTTGAGAGTTGGTCTTTAATGACCATTGGGAGTAGCTTCGGGATTGTTGGTTGGTGGGAGCACAAAGCTATTTGTTGCTGGGTGTGGTTTGAAGACGTTTTCTAGATGGACGGCAAATGTATTTGCCTCCTCTTTGTTGCTGCGAGCCCACTCTCCTGTTTGTGTACGCAAAGGTGATTCACTCTCGATTGGTGGGCATACGCCTGATTTAGCTTTGCACAGTGGGAATCGTGTGCTAGTTGGGGAGAGTTGCTCCATATAGGATATTTGAGCTCGGTTTTTTTCATCTTCTAGGGCTCTGCGTAGTAGGTGGTTGGCTATTTTTAGCCTCTCTTTCGAGGCAGGTGATCTGTGTGCTTGCCACTCTCGGCGAAGCCTTCTTTGCCTAGAAATACGACTGCTGTTGGAAAGTTTATTAGATGCTAATATTGGTGTTGAGTGTTTTGCCGCCAGTGACATTGAGGATTGCTTCGTCTGACCTATCAATGTCATCTTTACAATTAATGTTTGGGCAGCTATCATTATGAGAGCTAATGTACTTCCTGTATTTGAGGCAATCTGTTTTGCTAGAAGTTAGAAAGTGTGGGCGTTCCGAAAGCTGTGGATGGTCGTAAATGTAAAGTAGAATGGGCGAGTGATCCGATGATAGATCTGTTAAGTGATCTACATTAATCTGAGCTTGCAGCACCCTTCGTGTAACTGCAAAATCAATCAAGTCGGGTTGCTTGTTTGGATCCGTGGGCCAATGTGTGGGCTTGCCCGGAGAGATAAAGTCTAGCTTGTTTCGTGGGGTTATTATAGCGTTATATAGTTGTCTTCCTTTCGGGTTGGTAAGTCTAGATCCCCAATGGGTGTGCTTGGCATTGTAGTCACCAGCTGCTATAAATCGGTCACCTAGTAGGTCGAAGAATGTTACAAATTCTGTTTCGGAAATGCAGAAGCGTGGTGGGCAGTATACTGCGGCTAGGTTTAGGTAGCCGCTCTGAATTTCAATATGAATTGCTGTTGCCTGTAGATAAGGTGTAGCAAATGAAGGCAATGGATAATGCCTAATGCGATTCTTGATCAGGATGATCGGGATGATTTGTTGCATAGAAGTTATAGCCATCGAGGTGAAAATAGTTTTTATTTGTTAGGTGAGTCTCTGATATGAGCATGGCGTCAATGTCGTGTTGAGCGAGGAACTGTAAGAGCTCGCATTTTTGCTGCGAAATGCCCTTTGCATTCCAGAAACATATATTTAGACAGGACATTTAAACAGATTTCTGTTTGATTAGGATCTCCAGGAGGAGGGAGGGAGCATAAGCTCCCGCATCGTTTGTTGTATTGCTACCATTGTGTTTGTTATAGTTACCAGCATTGATTCAATTCCACTAGGCAATTGGGATGGATTAGCAGGGGTATGTTGGGCAGAGAATTCTGGGATCTGATTTGATGCCTGATTCTGCATTATTCCAGCTGTGGTTGGTTGAAGTGTCGGCTTAGAGACTGAGCCGTACGACCCGTTGTTGTAACTTAACGCCTGAGCAAAAGAAACTCCTGGAGTCGTAGTTGATGGTATATATGTTAAGTTTTGTCGGACGACCGGGTGTCGAGCTGCAGTTATTTGTTGGTTTAGGCGATTTTTCAATTCTTTATAGACAGGACAACCTCTATAGTTGGCAGTATGGTTTCCCCCACAGTTGCTACATTTTTTGGCAGATGGGTCCTCCTTATTTACGGGGCAGGCCTCAGTGAGATAAACATCACCACAGGCAACGCAGACTGCCCGTAGAGTGCAATAGGTTTTCGTGTGTCCATATTCCTGGCAATTTGTGCATTGGACCGGTCCATTTCGTTTGTGTGGTTCCTCAACGGTGATCCTACGGTGTAGTAGATATTGAAGCTTGTATATTGGGTGAACTTAATTTTTACTTATATGCATACTTTCAGGTGTCAGTTCTACTTTGAACATTGGCTGGGGAATTTTATTTCTATTTATTATGTTCATAGCCATTTTGACTTCGAAGCCCTTATCGTTAAGTCCATCTATTATCTCATTGATTGGGACTGTTGGTTCGATTCCTTTGATAACCACTTGTAATCCTTTGCTACTTTTAAGTTGGTAGGTGTAGTAATTCATTTTTTCATTTTCGAGGTATTTCGCAACTGATCGATAGTTTTGTTCGTCATTGACTTGTATTTTTGTTTCATTTATATTGCCCCTTTTTATGTACGTGACATAGAATGTGTTTGCGCCAATTGTATCAGTTATTTTTTTGACCAGTTCAGCACAATTTGCCTGTCGAACATAAATAGGTGGCGGTCTTAATTTGTTGGCCTTGGGTGCTTTGGCGATCTCATCTTCATTTGGAACACTTAGTATCGCAAATCTATTGTGTTCTAATGCCTTATGTGGCACAGTGTTCTCGGTTATTTTAGTTATTTTAGCTGCATTGTTGTTCTTCGCAGTTTTTGGGCTCAATTTTCTTTTGATTTGCACATAGCAATCGAGCCCAGTATGAATTAACGCTCCGTTAGCGTTTTTCGAACTTATTGGTTGGGAGAGTTGGGGCTTGTCGCAGTGGGTCGACAGTATCGGGCGCTGAGCAATTGCAGTGGTTGTTGTTGTCGTTGTTGTAGTCGAAGACACAGTTTTGATCGAGGTCATTGTACTAGTTGTCGATATTAGCAAATCGTTGGTTAGGCAGTAGGAGTGGGGGGATGGGCACTGAGCACTGCATGACCCACTTTGCAATTCAGGGGAGAGAGAGCGTGCTCTCTCCTCGTTCCCTTGCAGTGATGCAGATTTTGTTGGTACTGCTGCCTTTGGCTAGCGTATAGAGAAGTACGCGTTGTTTTTTGCTTGCGAGAGCCGACGCTCGTCTTGTTGTTGTTGCCGGGCTTGGCTCATTTTGGCTTTGGTTACAGTGCTAGTGCTCTTTACCGAGCTGGTGCTCTTATACGTTGACATTTGTTCTTTTCTATTATTTCTATTAATCTTTATTACACGATTGGATGGTATTCATGGGCAGCACGATCACTAGTACCCATGCCTACCCCGAGCGCTTTTTCGCGAATTAATTTATGATTAATCGCGATTAATTGATTTTCACGACGGAGCGATACAAAAATACGTCTGAAGTCGTTGACGGTTTCACAGCTACAAGTGTATTTCAAAATTTCGCCCCGCCCCCTTCCGCCCCCACAAAGGACGAAAATCTGTGGCAGGCACATTTTTAAAGATAGATAGATAGATGTAGCAAACAAATTAAAAATTTTTTTTTCTATTCTAAAATTCTAAAAAATCATATGCTCAAAAATGTATATACTGACTGAGTACGGGTATAAGTAGATTCGCGTCCCCAGAAGCGACTCGCACGTTCCTTATCGTTTAATATGCACTTATGTCGAACTCTCTTGACAGAAACTTCTATTGGCGTCATGGTAGTAGGGTTAAAATAGTGAAAGTATGTATAAAACAATTTACGAGGACGTATCCTTAATTACCTGTGCTAGACGAGTAGTAGTCATCTCAGCTAAGTAGTTCCATAAAATTTTTAGTATATGCCGACCCCTGATTCATTTGTCACAGTATTGAACTATTACTGTTGCTCTGAAAGTTTTCGTTTTGAAGCTTCAATTGAATGTCAAATAACACTACTCGACAAAATCGAACTTTTTTTCCTCAAGGATCCAAATCGACTTTTTCTGATAGTTATGAACTTTAATTTTTTTTATAGAATTATGGTTTTTTTTCTATGGCAGAACTTTTTTTTACGAATTTTTGAAGTCTGGTATTTTTTTTAAAGCTTTTTTCAGAGGTAGCGCGTGTTTTTTTCACATAAATCTAGTATCTTACGTCTGGTTGTAAAGAACTTTGCTATTTTGAAAAGATAACACTACTCGACAAAATCGAACTTTTTTTTCCTCAAGGATCCAAACCGACTTTTTCTGATAGATATGGGGCTTTAAAATTTTTTAAAGAATTATGGTTTTTTTTCTATGGCAGAACTTTTTTTTAAAGAATTTTTGAAAACTGGTATTTTTTTTAAAGCTTTTTTCAGAGGTAGCGCGTGTTTTTTTCACATAAATCTAGTATCTTACGTCTGGTTGTAAAGAACTTTGCTATTTTGAAAAGATAATTAAAACAGCTAGAAGTTAAGCCCAAACACTTTGTGATTTCAGCTTACCGTCTGGGAAATATAAAGCATTGAAATTTCAAAATGATGATTTTTGTGCGGTATTTTTTACGATATTTTGACTTTAAAAACTCAGGAAAAGTCGAAAAAAAATTATATCCTGTGTCCTTTATTTTTTTTGTGTATAGGTGCATTAATTTGTCGTCGTTTAAGGTATCGCTCATTAAAATCTATGGAGAGATTTTAGAGCTAAAATTCGTTAACCAAACCTAAAAAATGAACAAAAAATAACTTTTTGATGGTTGCGGGCCCAACTGCCAATAGGGAATTGGGATCGCGATCAGGTACCAAATGTACAACCCTTTTTCGTTTGCTTTGTTCCCAATTGGCAGTTGGGCCCGCAACCATCTAGGCGCTCAACAAGACGGACAGACGGACAGACAGACAGACGGACAGGCAGACATGGCTATATCGACTCGGCTATTGATGCTGATCAAGAATATATATACTTTATGTGGTCGGAAACGTTTCCTTCTCTGCATTACACACATCCACTTTTACCACAAATCTAATATACCCCTTAACTCTTTTTTGAGTACGGGTATAAAAAGTGCTACCTCTGAAAACTAACCGATGATCAAACTTTCAGTTGTAAAATGTGGTGTGGCATGCCTGGCAAATCCAGTGAGTTCAAAAACTTTGTTAGATAATTTACAGCTTCGTTCTGTATCGTTTGATTTGCACACCATTTCGCCTGGCAAAAACTGCTCATTCACATTATTTTCTGTGAAAATTGATCTTTTTGCCAACCAGGCATGATTTACATCTGTGTACTTATGATTTATTTTTTGTATGTTGCACGCTTTGTACATCTCCTTTGCAAGGCGATGTGAAGTTTACATTGAAAACTGCATAAGAGAATATTCTTTAGTTAGAAATTTGTTTCGAACTTTCCCCGTTTGCTATACGTAATAGCTTAAGGCGTTTTAGAAGTCTAGAAGTGCAGGCGAAGTCTAGAGAGAGAGTGATAGCAAGAATGCGTGTGCAGCTCTTGTGCCTTTCAGAGAGTGAGTGAGGTGCAACGGATGATGCGTGAGAATGTTGAGCACGGAGAGCGATGATCCAAAGTCCCTAGGGTAATTTTATTTTGGAAAGTGTCAAGCATAACTAAGTTATCAACCGTTAAAAACCTTAGTTTGAATTTGGTTTGTTTGGAAAATGCTAAAAAAAAAAGGAAACCGCTCGAAATTCTGTGGCACCGCTGAAATTTTTTGTCGAAATTACTTTCAGCTGATTCCATTTCCGTATATCCTGTGTCCGTTTTACCGTTTGCGCTAAAAAGAAGCGCTACCTCTGAAAAAAGCTTAAAAAAACACCAGTTGTCAAAAATTGTTCAACAAAAAAGTTCTGCCATAGAAAAAAAAAATGTAAGCCTCAAATCTATCAGAAAAAGTCGGTTTGGTTCCTTTAGGAAAAAAAAGGTTACATTTTGTCGAGTAGTTCAATCCGCCCTGTATACATGCATATACATATGGCTGTGTCCATTAAAATAGTAGTGCAGCACACTTTAACTCTTTTCGACACATTTATAGTCGTGTTTTAGTGTTTATAAACAATTCCGAAAACATATATGTATATGTAAGTCGGGACACTAGGCACAATGGCTTTCAACCAAAAATTAATAATATGAGGTAAAAAATAATATAGCTTAGCAGTTAATGGTGAGTTTTCCTATCTTGATTTACTACAAAAATTTAAACCATCATTCTGTCTCTTTATACATCTTGTCACAAAAGAACCGCCAGCTCTTTCACAGTAAGACTGGTATTATTACACTATTACACATAACTGAAAATAAAATATAATCTACATTTGCTGCTGAATTTTATCTTATATAATTTATCTATAATTAATAATTTTCGTTTTATCCAGATACAACTTTTTTTAGGATTCGTCAAGGATATATATACAAATCTACCCAACCATGTAACATCTATTTTTGAAACCTCAAATGATATCTGGTTAAGCGACTTAAAAGAACTAAACTTGGAGAGTCTCCTACCCGAAGCCTATTCTGTTAAAACTATACATGTCGAAAAACAGCTTGACTCCAATTCTCAGCAGAACATTGTAAGTATGGCGTTCTTGAGTATTCTTTGTTTGACAAAAACAGTACAGGGTTCGTCAACTTTTAGTGCTCTATATAAAATTTATATAACCGTTCAGACCTTTTTAATTCTTGAAAAAATGATGGAAAACGCATAAAAAACAAAGCATGTTTTACTTTATCCAATAAAGGCGGCCACTTGATCGATTTTGTTTTCAAAAAAAATAATCAGAACAAATTCTAAAAGATCAAATTAAATAAAAATACCTTATATATGCAAATCGGTTTACAAATTTCAAAGTTATTCAATGTTTACATGGAGCACTAAAAGTTTGCGCACCCTGTATAAAAATATGATGCGCAACGGGGAAGGCCAAATGGTTTAATTTAAACACAATTTATTTTAGAATTTATTATTAGAATTGTAAGGATGCGATCTAGGCTGGGGTATAACCAAAGACAATATAAGTATAAGATGCGTAACGCTCATACATTTCAATTGCCATATGCAAGACAATTTTTCGGCCAGCGACGAAATTCGCGCCATCTCGCTCGCACAAATTTGAGAGCGAACGAATCTAAAAATAGAATCCGCTTACATGTGTGAGTACACACAGAACAGCAAGTGCGTATGTGTGCGTACTTGTGCGAAGCGGACGATTTTCCAGACGGAAACCTTTTTATGAGTTGAGAAACGAAATTATATACCGGCGTTGAATACGTCGCATCCTGAATACCCTAATGGCAATTATTCCAATGTGATTCATGGAATTTCATGTATTAAATATATTATGTATTTTTATATATGTTATCCGATCATTATTATCGAATATACCATCTTAAAATAAATTATCGTTGGAGAGATATATACAATATAACAGTTTTTTAATATTGGGGTGGTAAGCGTCTTGCAAAATTAACTTACACTAATAAAGTGAAGGGTATATTTCGACAGCGCTGTAAAAAACGTATGCATGTGCGTGCACAGTCGTCGCGACGACTCGGCTCGGCTGTCGCATCGGCAAAGAACCAACTTCGTGTGCCTTCGTATGCTGTATGCATACAAGAGAGCGGCTGGCTCTAGAGCGCTCTCTCTCTCTAAAAAATTTCAAGAGAGCCTGGAGCCAGCTCTAGAGCCAGCATGCAAAATTCGTGTGCAGAAATTTCGTATGGCGTTACGCATCTTATACTTATATTGTCTTTGGTATAACTCTCAGTCAAGCCAGGGTCGAAATTACAGCCATATTTATAATTTGCCGGGACTCCGAGTCATGAGCGGCCATGGGACGAAGATTTCGTCTCGGGGATGCCAAGGCCAAGGGAAACGTGCGAAAGCGGGGTAGAACGGTCGAGATCTTCTGCAGAGTGCCTGTGCAGTCGCCGGGCGGCACCTAAGGGAAGCTACAGGGCTTCTGTCTTCTTCTTTGTCTTCTTGGCTGCTTCCACTGGCACGTCCGTTCAGCTCGCTGGTCTGGAATATCTCTTCGTTTTCCATGTGCTTGCGATCTTAAAAACCCACCCTTGTTGTGCTGGTGGTTGAGCTTTCGCTCTCTGCTCTCCCGCTCTCTGTACAGATGTTGGTGGTTGTGGTTCGTGTCTCCACTATGTGCTGATGTTGGTGGTTGAGGTTCATGTCTCAACTCTGGAGCTTTTATCAGTGCTATCAGTGATGCCCGAGCGAGCAAGTACTTAAACTAATTTTGATTAATGCTATGAGCTTGCTTAACTACTAACAAATGCCGTCACTTAACCTAATAATGAACATAAAACATAATAATAACAAAATAATAGTAAATAATAATAAGAGATCCTTCATGGTGAAAAAATAATGTGGGGGAGCGTCTGCTCCTTCACAGAATATTTCGTTTCTTACAAATATAATATTAGAATGCTATAAAAAGAAGGGACCGTAAACAATGATTATTATTTTTTTGTTCAATACAAAAATTACATAGTTATAATAGATTGCACCAAAATCTTTGTTTTTGTGCAATCTCTGCATTTCCGCTATGATTTTTAAATTTCGGATTTTTACGTTTTTCTTCAATGACAACACTACTCGACAAAATTGATTTTGATTTTCTTTCGGCTGTGGACCAAAATTACATTTTCTGATAAATTTCGGTATTTAAAAATTTGTGTAGTACTTTATTATTTTTTTTAAAGAATTTTTAAAATCTGGTATTTTTTTTCATGGTTTTTTTCAGAGGTAGTGCTTCTATTTTTCACATAGGTTAGGTTAGGTTGTCCCGGACGGCCCTCACGGGGCCACGCATAGGCCAATATGGCCCTTAGTTGTCCGGATTGGTGCGTATGGACCTTCTGAGTGTTTTTACGCGGTTTTGAAATCCGTGAGGATCGAGGAGAGTTTTGCAAAGGCAAGGAGTTTCGCTGGCGTCCTCTTGGATGCATCTTCCAGCGATGCCAGTACCGGGCTGCCAAGATGTATGTTTCTTGCCCTTGAGAGGGCCGGGCATTGGCAGATTAGATGTTCCAGGGTTTCGATAGCCCCAGATTCATCACATTTCCTGCACTTGTCACTGTTGGTGATGCCTAGTTTGACTGCATGTGCTGCAGCCAGGCAATGACCTGTGAGTATACCTATTAGCATCCTACAGTCCTTCCGTGGTAGGTGTAGTAGGTATTGGCTGAGTTTACCATTGCTCTCCTTGCACATGGTTTTCGCGATCTTGCAGTTGGTGGTTCTCCTCCACCTGCTGCTGGCCTGTATGTGTGCCCTCCTTTCTAGATCGCTTTGGAGCGCTCTGAGGGAGACAGGCACGTTCTCAGTCCTGTCGTTTGCCAGCCCGACGCCTTCCTTAGCCAGTACGTCTGCTGTCTCGTTGCCTTCGATGCCCTGGTGGCTGGGAACCCAATAGATCCGCACTGACTTTGTCGTGCTTAGGAAATCTATTGCCTCCCTGCTTGCCAGGACATTTTTGGAACTGACCGCTGACGACTGCATGGATCTTATCGCCGCCTGGCTGTCCACGAACAGGTTCACCACATTATGTGGGCGTTCCGTACATCGAGCAACCTCCGCCGCTTTCCGTATGGCAAAGACTTCTGCCTGGAATATGCTGCATTGGTCCGGTAGCTTATAGGACAGCCTTATTTCAGGGTCTGTACAATATATGCCCGCACCTACTCCTCCCTCCATCTTGGAGCCATCCGTGTATATGTTTAGGTGTTCGTTCTGGTCCCAACTTTTTTTCCAGTCGTCGGGTTCCATGTGTATCGCTGTTTTGACGTCCAGGCACGTTCGGGGGATCATGTAGTCAGATATACTGATCATGTCTCGGCCTATTGAACTGTGCCCGAATCCTTGCAGCGACATATTGCCTGATGCGACTAGGCGTTGTGCTGCCTTACCTGCAGTCAGTCTAGCGTGGATGTCTAGGGGGTCAATTCCGAGTATTGTTTCGAGTGCTTTTGTTGGGGTTGACCTCAGCGCCCCAGTAATGCAGAGCAGTGCCTGCCGCTGGGTTCTGTCCATCAGCTTGTTGTAGGTTTTCTTTTCTGTAGCCTGCCACCACACTAAGACTCCATACAGCAGAGTCGGTCACACTACCGAGATGTAGATCCAGTGCATTAGTGCAGGTGATAGGCCCCATGTGCTGCTAAGCATCTTCTTGGATGCATATAGCGCAATGGTGGCCTTCTTCACCCTTTCCACTACATTGGGTCTCCATGTCAGCTTGCTGTCCAAAACTATGCCGAGGTATTTGACTTGTGTTTTTGGGGTGAGCCTGGTTCTGTCAATTTTCGGGGGGATCCATGCCGGTACCTTGTACCTCTTGGTGAAGAGGATGAGGTCCGTCTTGTCCGCGTTGATACTGAGTGCTACTTTTCCCGCCCACTCACATATCTCCCTGAGTGTTGATTCCATTATAGAGCTGAGGCTCGATGGGCATACTCCCGTAATAATTATGCTTATGTCGTCCGCATAAGCTGTTATTTTTGGGGCTCTCCTCTCGAATCTCTTTATCAGGTCGTCGACCACCAGATTCCATAGGAGGGGCGAGAGGACCCCACCCTGAGGTGTGCCTCTGTGCGCCCCTTTCACCATGGAGGCGGTGCCCCACTCTGAGTACACCAGTCTACAACTTAGAAGGTTCTTTATCCAGAGGTTGATTGCGGGATGTGTGTTGATCGCTTCTATGCGGTCCATTATCGCGCTCATATTCACGTTGTTGAATGCTCCGGATATGTCTACAAACACTCCTAGTGCATACTTCTTATTTTGGAGGGCATTTTCGATTGTGGCTACTAGCGAATGCAGTGCCGTCTCTACCGATTTCCCTTTGGTATAGGCATGCTGGTTGGGTGACATCCGCCCACCTACATCATTTCTGATGTGTAGATCCAGCAGCTTTTCTAGTGTTTTGAGTAGAAAAGAGGTAAGGCTTATCGGTCTGTAGTCATTGGGGCTCATATGGCTGCACTTTCCTGCCTTTGGAAGGAAGACAATCCTCGAGGTCCTCCATTGAATAGGGATATAGCCCGTGCTCAGGCAAGCTGAGTATATTGCAGAGAGCCATGGGGTGATCACGTCTTTGGTCACCTGTAGCATGGCTGGGAATATACCGTCTAGTCCAGGTGCTTTCGTACCCACAAAGGAGTCTATAGCCCAGTGGATTCTCCTAGACGATATGAGATCTGTTGGGGGGTGCTGTTCCACAGTTGCTAGGTCCTGATGCTCTGTAGCGTCAGAAACCTCGATGCATCCTGGGAAGTGGGCTTCCATTAGTGCTGTTAGGGCATCTTCGCTGCCCTCAGTCCATTGTCCATCATTTCGTTTCAGCTGACTTTGTATGGCAGGTTGCTTTGATAGCAACTTCCGGAGTCTAGCCGTTTCTGGGACTTTCTCGATATTGGAGCAGAAGTTCCTCCACGAGTTTCTTTGTGCCCTGCGTATTTCCTTCTTGTACTCCCTGAGTAGGGTTTTGTATTCCTCATCGATTATCTCCTCGTTCGCCTGTTTGGCGATTTTGAAGAATTCTTTGAGGTTATTTCTTTGAAG